CATTAGGAAAACTATACCCCTTATGGGTAATGCTGGGCACACAGCAACAGGGAAAAATCCAGTAATTAATTTAGATTGTACATGTACATTATGTACGGGCCAGGGCACATAACCCATTTCAATGCCACATAAAGTCGATCCATACCCACACGCTGATTGTTCGGAAAATGGTAGAGCCGAGGCAACAATCACTGACTGTGAGCCTCCCGTGTCTCGTAGTATGCGGACGGGTCTCTGATCGTCGGACTCACCTGTTAGTGAAATCAATCCCTCGAACACAAAAGGCTTAAAACAGGGATCTATTTCCTCCTCATTGTCAGGTGTGGAAATACTGAGTGAGTTAGTGTTAATTAAGCCGATGCCTTTCGGCCTGGTCATGTTTGGTGGCTGCTCCTTCCGCTTCAGAATTAGGCAATTATTAATGAAATGCCCAGGCTGATGACAATAGTGACATTCTCTCTCCTCTTTGTTCCTCGTAAACACTCTCGCTGGCTGACCAACAGGTGCACCCGGCATGCGGCGAGAGTTCTCAGCAATAGCCGGAGAAAACACCGTTTTATGCATCAGCACATATTCGTCTGCCAGTACAGCAGCTGCGGAGAGAGATTGCACTTTCTGATCATTTATATGCCCCACAATACGGTCAGGTAATCCCCTCTTAAATTCCTCCATCAGGATTAATTCTTTAAAGGCAGAATACTCTGCAGCGTCACATGAATCAATCCATTTATGGAGCAACATCCCCTTCTCCCTGGCATACTCGACATGTGTTTGATTAGCCCCCTTTCTGTGATTCCTGAACTTCTGCCGATAAGCCTCTGGAACTAACTCGTACACCCTAAGTATGGCACGCTTTACCAGGTCGTACTTTAGGCTGTCCTCCAGTGAAAGAGCAGCAACCGCCTCCTGAGCTCTCCCGTGAAGTTTACACTGCACTAACAGAGCCCAGGCATCAGCCGGCCACTGTAATGCCGCTGCCATGCATTCAAACGCACCAAAATACGCATCCACTTCAGCCTCACGGAAAACCGGCACCAACGCAACATTTTTCCCTACATTGAAGGCAGGTGGATGAGAAGGAAGTGAAAAGCTTTCTCGAAGATTGCCAACAACACCGGATGCGCGCAGTTCGGAGTCTAGCTCCATCTGCCGTATCCGGATCCGGACTTCTTTATCTGCCTCGATTTTCCTTATTTCGAACTGAAACTGCCTGTCTTGCTCCCTGTCCTTAGCCTCTATCTGAAGCCGGGCGAGACGGATTTTCAGTTTATTCCCTACCCGGGAATCTGTGCTGCCCACAGAAGAGGGGTGGACCTCTGCGAGGCGGCGTGGAGCGGTGCCTCACACGACTCGCCCCCCTCGCTGTCACCACTCTTTTCTTCCATAGCGATAAACTCCGCCACCTGCCCCTGACTTAACGGGTCTTCAACTAGACCTTTGGACACTGGGAGCTCAGCAGATACAGCCAGTACTAATAAGCCCTTTCTCACCATCTCATCCACTACCAATGCCCTCTACTCTTTCTTTACCATTTGCCGATTCACCACCAGACTGAAGTGCCGCGCTATCTCTATTAACTCATCTTTTTTACATCGGTCCAGCTGCTCGTAACACGGCCAGACTAAGAACGCCTCTATGTCAAACGACGCCATACCTGGGTGTACCGCCAACCCGTTTACAAAGTTTATTGCCACAATAAACCCACCTATAACCCCAGGAATTGCTTTAAATGTATCCCGGACGAGCCCCCACGTGTTACGTTCCCACTTGGCTAGGGTACAAACGGGAAACGACACGACCAGATTGGATTTGGTATATTCGTTACCGGTGGTTTTATTGTTACTGAAACTAAGTAAAATGATGGTCACACAGATTGGCCCCACAACACGGGTCAATCTGTCACTATAACACAACACAAAGGGTCTCCAAAAGAGAGTTGCCCCGCTACACAAAGAAAAACAAATCTCACTACTAAAGTGGAAACAAACAATAAACAAAACGGGACTGTGGAAACCCACACAGCTGGTGCGGGTCTACAGGTGCTAATCACCTGGCTCTACGCAATATCCACTCACAGGAACGCTGGTCTACAGGTGCTAATCAACCTGGATCTAAGCAGTATAAACACACAGGAATGCTGGTCGACAGGTGCTAACCAACCTGGATCTAAGCAGTATACACACACACAAAATCCCTACGCTAACACAGAACCCGACGACACACTGCTACTCAGTGTGCTCGCCTAGAACCCTACTACAGACACTGCTAATCAGTGGAGCTAATACAAAAGACACACGGCTAAATACTCTCAGAATTCACAGAAGGAAGGCTTATCACAAGGATAGGGTTGAGGCATCTGACACAAAATACAGAGCCTCTCGACTGTTGTCCGTGCTCAGCCTTTATACTCCTCCCCCGGCTGACGTGACAGAAGCGAGCAGGGGTTGGGCGACGTCTGTCCAATCCCCGCGGATGTTGAGCGGTCCGGACGGCCAATGACAGCAGAGGAACTGCACAGCTCATTTACATACACCAACAGACTTAAGCTCACAAGGTAGCAGCTGCTGTAACAGGCGCATTGTAGGAAAGCAAGACAATAAATGGCAAATATATGTAGAAAATAAACATATTTGAGTTACGTCCAAAACAAACGTAATGTGGTAGAAAATACGTTTCTAGTTTAACATAATTGAGAATGCGTGGGAACGTAATTTTGAGGAGTCAGGGTTGACTGTAAAGATGAGGGGACCGAGCACCGAGCCTTGGGGGACACCATGGTTAACAGAGAGGTAGGAGGAGCTACAGCCAGCGTAGGTCACAAATTGTGTCCGGTGAGAGAGTTATGAGTGGAAGAAGGAGAGGGCGGAGTCGGTAAGGCCAAGATGTCCAGACAGGAGGGTGAGGAGGATATAACTGTAAAGTCCACTGAGACAAATGTAACATTTGTGATATTGGGCTATATAAATAAACATTGATTGATTGATTGATTGATATCATGACACATGATGTCGAAGGGTGCAGAGAGTCTAGGAGAATCAGTTTACTGATGTGGCCTGAGTACTAGGAACAGTGCTATATGCTGAGTATGCAGCCGATATTAAGCAAAGTCAAAAACCTGCTAAGGCCGACTAGCATTAAGTCGTTTTATCATAATGACTTGATGGGGGGGTTAATTTTTATTTAGGTTGCAAAATTCTCTCTGCTACTTTCTCTCTCTCTTTCTCTCTCACGCACGCACGCACACACACACACACACACACACACACACACACACACACACACACACACACAGTAAACACACTACCACATTTAAGTTTATTCTCACAACCTCACAAAATATGTGTTTCTAGAGGCTTTATTCTATCATTACCACATGCAGGGCTCTTTGGTTAGCTAGTATAGCAAGTGGCTGGCTCAAAGTAAACACAGAAAGGACTTTATGCCTGCTGTTTGTTCTTAAAGATGGAAGGTTAAACAATATATTTCAATGGTTACTTGTCTTTAAAAGCCTATTTCCACTTAAAGGTAAAGGTTTTGTATCCACATTGTGTCAGGATAAATGTAACCCTTACTTTTTAAGTCAGCTCTTCCCAGGAGAATTGTATGATCCCTTTGCCTGCCTTCTGGTATGGCTGCCTTGTTTATTTGTATTAACACGTATTCTAATCTATAGCGAACATGGAAAAAATGTGTATTGAGTCTAGGGAGTTTGAACCCTATTATTTCTTGAACCATTCAGTAGCACTGACTGACCCCAACGGTTTGCTTCATGCTCAGTAGTGCCAGAAGCATGGAAGAAAGCATGAAAGCATAAAGAGAAAAATAACCTACTAAAGAGTCTTTGAGTGAAAAACTTATCTCCGCTAAATCTTCACTTTGACACAAATAAAATAAACGTACTTACTGATTATATCTTTAGTAAAAAAACACTTCTCAGTGCAGCATGCATGCAAGGACATGGACACAATTAAAAGTAACATTAAAATAAAAAGCTCATACAGTATTGCAGACATCAAACATAATCATGTGAAATCAGGGCAACAGAGTGGATGCTACACATGTATATCTATCACAGGAGCAGACATGTCTGCACAGTGGTCTTAGTTTGTACCTCCATTCACCCAAATGCAGTATCTGCAACTTAAAATATCAAACCAAGACAGGTACGAATCATATATTCCTTCATGTCTAATAAATGAATACCACATAAAGCATCTCCCATCTTATCAGGCTAACCATTCAAGCCCCTGAACATGCAGAGAAGTCTATAAATGTTATCGTGTATACAGGGGAAGCAGCTAAACATATTTTAGCCAATTAAAACATAACAACTCGTGATAAATTATAGTCTGTTTTAATGAGTACAACAAGTCCTTATAGTAGTGTGTCAGGTCAAACTGAACACATTTCTTGAACAGTAACCAAATGACCTATTTATTCTTTTACTTTATATGAAGGTTTTCACAGCTGATGCAAAGCATTGGGACAGTGAATCTACCAACAGTGAAAATGTTAGTTCTCAAGTGGGATGCTTAAAAAAGATAACTGCACTATAGTTCTAAAGGCATTCAAGTTCTGATGGCAGCCTCCAAGCGGTGGCTTCATCCATAACATTCATCTGTTTGCAACTTACAAATTATTTATCTAATATATCATAATATTCAAATTACTTGTACTTGACTCTTCTTGCACTATTTCTATTTTATTTGTATTTACTTGCACTATTTTATCTGTTTATTATGTTGCATTGTTGGAGGAGCCTGTGACCTCAGTTTTTCATTGACATATCTACACTGAAGCTATGTACAAATTACACAATAAATGCCTTGAATCTCCCTGAGCTCAGTCACAGCAGAGGGTCGCAGGATGAGGAGGGGGGCTGGAAGGTCACATCTGAAGACTTTCCAGATGCATGCTTTGGGATGTAGATAACTGTTCTTTGTGACCTCTGTTTCACTCACTCACATTTGTTAAATCTCTCAACCTGTCTCTCTTGTCAGCCTGTAGTATACAGAGGCGTGGGCCCCCCAGGTGCTCAGGTGTCTCTGGAGCAGCAGGCCTACATGCTGCTGACGGAGCCAGAGAGGCAGACCATGGTCTACTACCTGCAGGAGTACCAGGAGGGACACATAGGAGTGGAGCCGCTGACCATGGCTCTCTGTGAGCTTTTTAACACACATGCAAAGGTACTAAATTCATATATAGATCCATTCATTTTAGATTTTTGGAAAACTGTCTAAAGTATGTGGCAATTTCATTCATGTATAGGTCATGTTACATTGGGAATATGTTTTTCTTTAAATGCCCAAGAAGTTGATATTCTCTGCTCTTTGAATTATTCGATAACATGCTGTAATCCATATTAAAGCACACATAGCATGCTCTTATCTCAGCTTCGCTTCTCTTCTTCTCTGCTCCAGCTGTCCATGCTGGCAGACGTGAGAAGTCTGGTGGCCCCCCTGGACCTAGAGCTGTACGACAGGCTGGTGTTGCATCGTGAGAGAGAAGCCCACCAGGCCTGGCATGGAGGTCCGGGGGTCCTGCATCTTCAGGGCTACTGCAACCAGAATGCAGGACACGGCCACCCTGCTATGGTAGGTCCATTATCCCACATCACATTACATCAATACTGTGGCATGTTAACATTTGAGCATAAAAATCACAACCTGCTTACATGTTTATCTTACATCGCTGCTAACCAAATCTTCTGATAAAAATACTAGTGAAAATGATGTGAAGATACCTCATTGAATACAGAATCAAAACTTTAAAAAGTTGTTAAACAAGTGAGGCCTTTCTCAATATTTTCCACACGAGTCCTCATGCAGTCCAGATGCTTGGAAGTGTTCTTGCTCAGCTGTTTGTGAGGTGGGGGTAGTATCCCATCATGCATTTTGCAAGTAGCATTTATACAGTATATTATCATTTTCAACCTTCAGCTGTTACAGTGTCCCCAAATAATACTCACATTTATACAAGCATACTTATTCATTACTTAATTTTTACAAAATGAATGGTCACTTTTCTGAAATGTGAGGACCGTTAATACATGTGTGCTGTCATCATATTATGTGTGGTTATTCTATTACAACTCCTAATATAAGGCTAATTGGATTTAATTGACAGACACTTAGTTATTCAGCAACAAACATGACGTTTTATTGTTATGTTATATTTCATTTTCATAGATTGATATTTCTTTGCAGTTTGGCTTCATAGACACACCACAGACCCAAAAAAAAGGCCGAAAAACCCATCTTTTGAACAGAGCCGTTTACTAGAACGTTAACCACCCATTTGTTGCCTTGACTGCCTAATGCTTTTTGTTTTATATTCTTTTTTATTTTGTTGCTAACATTTGACTCTGTAGCACTTTGAGTTTTGTGCACTTATAAATCAAATTGATTATTATCATTATTATTATTATTACTATTATTATTATTAAATAGGTATTTGGTGATGTGCATTAAAAAAATCTATAAACTGAAGCTTTAAAGTTAATTCCATCAGTGACTAATAAATAAACAGAAGACTAAAGAAAAACCTTAGTCCAGAGGCCTGTACTACGAAGCTGGTTCAACCTAACCTGGATATGTTTGAGTTAGCCGGTTGGCCTAATCCAAAACATACGCGCTCTCGCTAAGCGGTCCTACGACGCGGGTTATCAAGTGGATCGCTCAAGCAAGCCGTGTCCTATCTAGTTAGGTGCACGTTCACATGAAGGGGGTGGTATCTGGAGCATACGACCAATCACAAACATGGAGAAGCGTACTGACAGCGCAGTGTCATACTTTCTGAATGAAAAGTCAACTATATAATTAGTCAAATATAAAGAAGTTAAACTTTAAACATCCATGACTTAAATACTTTATCCAGGATCAAAGCCACATAGCTGCACCTGCAAGGTGAATACAGCTGGTAACAGAACAAGTGTTTGAATGCGTACATTAACAGGTTTATGATATCACTGCCCCGTCTACATGGGCGGCGCCAGGATTTTTTTGCTGCAGTAGCTTAGCAGTTGCTATATGACAGCACGGCGTTGCTAGTTAATTTTCAAAATAAACAAACAATACCAGTGGGCCAAGCACGAGCCTGTTCATATTGTAGCGTTCACCGCTATTCAAGATCACTCAAGCCTTCAATGTCGAAAACGTTCTCTTTATTTACAGAACCAATCAATAGTGTAACACTCATGACTTTCACGTGACACACACCGGAAAACGCACACACATACACACACCTGGAAGGGGCAATCTCTCCCTAACTCCCACCAACAACATTGCCTAAATAACGCACTTTTCCTCCTCTCTGGCCTCATTCTGTGACCCTCCTCCTCCTCCTCCTCCTCCTCCTCCTCCTCCTCCTCCTCCTCCTCCTCCTCCTCCTCCTCCTCCTCCTCCTCCTCCTCCTCATTCTCAGTTCTCTTCTCCTCATTCACAATTCCCCGTGTTAGATCTCACTGTCAGCACGCCTCGAACAATGGGTCACATCTGTCAGAGCAGGACAATGCGTCTGTTGTTGTGGTTCAAAGCAAAAGCGTCTATGATCTCCTGCACATCTAGGGCTCTTGCACGTTCTGCATTGATGGACAGCAAAGCCAAATTGCTATTCCTTAAGTCCCCGCTGTTGCTCCTCATGTAGCTTTTGACACGCCGTAAACAAGAAAAGCTGCGTTCGCAGGTTGCAGACGTGACAGGCAGTGTGACCGATATACACAAAAGTCTGTGCAAATCAATAAATGCATCCTTGTATGGCCGGAGAAGGGAGAGAAATTTGTGCGTGGTTTTCACAGTTTGTCCCTGCTGCTGCTCTTTTCGGTCAAGGAGCCGTCGAACTTGGTGCAGTTCTGCAGACAGGTTGTCAGTTTTTACCCCATAATACTGGGCTATGGGTGATAGGTGTTCCATCTCAAGGAATGACTTATGTGTTGGATTTAAGGCAGACGCGCCCTGTAGAACTCCACAAGATGACGAAAACCGCCTTTTCATTTCATTGACGAGTCTATCAATGACAGGGTAGTAGCAGTGCTTTCGGATGTCATCAGAGGAGGTGAGTGGTGTAAGTTTTCCTGTTGGAGCATCAACTACAAACTCCTGTAGGTGACATGCAGGCTGAGTCTGACGTCGCTCTTGTCTCAACTGGAGGAGGATGCCAGTCTTGGTGGAGAGGGCTTGTGCTTTGTCCAAAATGTCATTCCATGATTTTTCATTTCGCTTTTCGGAGAGGGATGTAATTACCGAATCAACAAGATCCGTAGCAGATGCCAGTTGCAGATCTGGAGACTGTAAATGGTCGGACAAGAATTTGGTGGCCCGAAACATATCCTCAAATAGAGTGAGTTGCACAGCAAAGTGAGCGTCTATCAGTGCCTTCACTGCTCTAGCTTCTGTCTTCCTGCGAGCGTTTGACTGCGTGATGACCTCATCGAGTGTGGCATAGATTGCTGGCAGTGTTTTCTGAATGGCCCACAGTGCTGAATACTGACACGCCCATCTAGTGTCTGACAGCTTTTTTAGTTCAACCGGCTTTTCTGTTGATTCAAGTTCCTTTTGTTTTTTATGGAAAATGTTGTGCACGACAGAGCCAGAAAAGAAATTATACAGCATCTGCACAACTTCAAAAAAATCCCCTGCTGGTCTTACATTCTTGACGCAGTCAACTAAAACTAAATTTAGCCGGTGGGCATGGCAATGTACATAAAGGGCCTGTGGCACCTCCTTCCGAAATCTCTCCTGCACACCGTTATTACACCCCGACATGACAGCGGCACCGTCGTAGCATTGGGCCAATGCACATGTTGTGATCAATGTTACATTTACTGAGCGTCTGTTTGATCGTTGTCAAAAGTGAATCGGCGTCCTAGTTCATCAGCTGGGGGTGAAGTGAAGGAACTCCTCCTGTATGCCATCATTATGTATGTAGCGCACTGCCACAGACAACTGCTCCTTTTTACTCACGTCTTTGCTCTCATCCACCATCAGTGCAAACACTCCAGCTTCCTGTACTTCCCCACTGATTTGATCCCTGACCATATTGACATCAGCTCAATGAGCTCATCTTGTATGTCGTGGTGTGTGTACTTTGCATTTCTCGGATTATCGGATATTTTTTTTGCCACAGTTTTGTCAAACTTGCCAATCAGGTCTAAAAGTTCGATGAAGTTTCCCCTGTTGTTTGATGATGCTTCACTCTCCCTATGCCCTCGTTGTGCAATGGTTTGACATGCAGTGTAACGCAATGCTTCCACAACTGCCCGCATATATTCCCTGTTTTCACATACAGTTTTGAATGTCCCTCGCTGAGTGCGTTGCTGATTTTTGAGCCACTTTCTTTCCTTAATTTAAATTCAGACCATGCATCCCTGGCACATTTATGTCCACTGCTCACATCATGAGTAATGAATGACTGCGTAGCTTTCACCCAGGTGCTAAATCCGTCATGGGTAAAGGCGGTTTCTTTATGGAACCGGCGTCCTTCATGAGCAAAATGCCTGCAGGCAAAACACAATACACTGTCCATAGTCATTGAGTACTCTAGCCAAGTATATTGCTCGTACCATCGGCGATTGAATGACCGCATTTGCAGTCCGTACTTCTTTGACGGGTATTTTCTCAGCATAGGACGTCTTGGTCCATCACAGGCTGACTGGCTGATGTCAATTACGGTGCGGAGAGGAGCAGCGCTAGTTCCACTAGTTCCACTGCAGCTCGTGGTAGCAGCTAGCTGGTCCTGCTGCTGCGGGTGCAGCGGGTCAGTTGGCGGGGGCACCTGTTCTTCGTGGTCCCAATCCTCCCGGTTTTCATAGTGAACATCGGGATCCTTGTGGATAGCAGGGTTGTCCGGCTGGACCGGCTCCGTTGGAGATCGCGGTCGTTTACGCTGACTTGTGACTGTGAGAAATGTTTCCATTTTCGATCTACTGAGAATTAGCCAAGTAACAGTTCACGCAGTAAATTACAACGACCCGCCCCTGATAGATCCCGCGAAAATGTATCATATTTATACACATTCTCGCGGGCTGCGAGAATGTGTATAAATAATACATTTTCATATCAAAACAATGGGGTTGCTAAGCCGTTGCTAAGCCAATTGTTGGAGTTGCTATAGCAACTCCAAGATACCCCCTGGCGCCGCCCCTGCCCGTCTAAGACACGATCTGACTTTAATTACATTTGACTCGAGTGTTTCGTCAACTTAATGTGTTGCTTAAAATAATACTTCTGCATACAGTATGTGACACTGTGAGTGTTGCACGGCCAGATACGACTCAGCTGACTCAGATCAGGAGATATATGATACATTATGAAGTGATATGCCGCGGACTGTACTTAATGACTTTGATCCGGTTACTTATGTTGTGGCAGATATTTAAGTAAGCTTTCTTAACGCTAATGTTATAATAGTCAGATTGCTCTGAAGATGGGAGGTGATGTTCTATTTATTTTCACATTCACAGTCGGTGATTTTGGCCGTTCGTCTTTCCTGCAACGGCAGTTTAAACTGCCTATTTCCTCCGCACACTGAGCTCTGATTGGTCAGCAGGCGTGGTGCTTTCGCTGAGTTGATATCTTATCCTGGAACCTATCCTGCT